GCGGTGTCCTAAAGAAAGAGCTGAGTGAGTGATCTGTGGACAATATGTCCCACGGTTTCTTAATATTCCTTGAGATGTTACCACTGGCAGCATGGAACACCATAGAGAGTGATTTTGGTCAACTTTGTCTTTCACCTTATTCTCCTTATCATTGATTTCCTGAGGTGCTTTCTGTAGCATCGGTTTGCTGGGTCCCTTTTCAATAGAAGCTGTGCACATGGTTTCCAACCAAGCATTTTGTCCATATCAGAATTGTATCTTAATACCCAAAGGAATTGAAATATGGATAAATAATTTTTTAGAGACAGAGGATGAAAACTATTAGCGTGCAACAATCTGTTGCGATCTGTTTTTTTTTTTTATATATATATACTAATGTCTTCATCTGATATACCTCCACGTCCAAAATTTGAATCCTGTCTTTTTATGCGGATTTTAACTCTATTTGATGGAGGAATCCTCTTTATTCAGTCCCTCTATCATTTCTGAGAGTGGAAGAACTGTATCTCAAATCAATGAGAGGAGACAATCTGTAGTGCCTGTGTGAAAACGAATCCATTGAGTTCAACTTCACACATACGTTAACAGGGTTATTCAAAGTCGGCTATATTTTAATTTGCATGTTATGTTCTAAAATTTTAGGTACACTTTGAATTGACAGTTCACACTTACGTGATGAACTGAAAGGATATTTTGTCATCTGGCAAAGTTCTAGTGTTATTTTCCAGGTGGGAGAAAATTCGACATACATTTTTTAACTTGCAGCTATTGCCATTGCTTCTGCATCATAGCCAGTGAACAAAATTCGGGATTATTCTAACTCCTAGTGACCGAATAATCTAAATTTTATTAAAAACAGGAGGCGAATATTTGCTTATCTTTCTTTACTGTAACTCCCAGCAGCAAAGAAACAGTTAACAGCAGTGTAAAAAAAAGTTTAACCAATCAGTATGCATTACAGTAGTATAAACTGTCATCCGGCTCCTCCCAATTCCTCTTTCTTGATGTAGCCGAACAGTCGTAGAGTCAACCATGTAAATGTAGAACCATTAAAAACGATGAACAGCTAACGGTGTAGGTATCCGGCAGGATGAAGGTAGTGATCAACCCGCGGGTAGATTCGAGACAGAAGGCAAATGATCTTCACACTAGGAGGAAGGAGAAACGTCGTGAAAGTATGGTCTCTTTGGCAAGAGAAAAACCAAATTAAATGCAGTGAACTGAATTCCAATTTAAGTGCAAGCTCTAACATAATTAACTGTGTGGTATGTAGAGTAAGTGACATACCTAGAATATAATAACCAATGTACAATTGAAAGCGGGTTTAGCATATAATAACGACCTAATGAGTATAGGCTAGAGAAAAGAGAGGATGTTAGTCATAGTTTGAACTGGAGATAGTACAGGATACTTACCTAGAAGGGTGGGTAAAGAGAATCCAGGGTGGGAAAATATTCCCCTCCTGTCTTTAATAAAATTTAGATTATTCGGTCACTAGGAGTTAGAATAATCCCGAATTTTATGGTAAGACAGGAGACTTCATATTTGCTATTTTAACGCACAGACAGCAAGGACAGAGAAACGTGTGGAGAATGTCTAAAATAAAAGGTACGGAAGGTGGATTCTCTAGACCAATCAGCGGAGGATAGAATTTCCGCTAAGGAACCTCCAGCTATGAGTGGCGAGGAGGCGGCTGCGCCTCTAACCGAGTGAGCCCCGAAAGATGCATCAATGTCAGCCAGTGCTAGAAGCCATTTAATCCAACGTGCAATGGTAGGGCACGAGACTGGTTTGTGAGGTCGTACATAAGATACCAGGAGGGGCCCAGTAGGTGCTCTGAGAGGGGTAGTGCGAGCAATATAATGTCTTATACACCGGGCTACACAGAGGAGGGGTTTCTCAGAGAAGTAAGGGTAGCTCACAGTAGATGAGTTGGTCTTGGTGCGTCTAGTGATATGAAAGTGTACCCCCTCTGGTGTGAAATCGAGGGCATGAAAGTCGAAAGCCCTGATGTCGGAAACTCTTCGGAAGGAGACCAAGCAAAGAAGGAGAGCTAATTTGGCTGACAATTGACGTAGGGAGAGCGCCTCGTTGTCCGGCCAAGCTTCCAAGAACGTGGGCATGATGGCCACGTCCCAGAATTGATTATATTTGGGATTCGGGGGTCTAGCGATGCGGATGCCCCGCAAGAGTCTACAGATAGAAGGGTGTTTGCCTACTGAAGAACTTTCGATAGGAACGTGCGCTGCAGAAATAGCAGACCGAAACACGTTAATGGTCCGGTAGGATTTACCCTGGTCGAACAGAGATGACAGGAAATTGATAATATTAATTATAGATGTTGAAAAGGGATCAAGGTCCCTTTCCATGCACCAGCAACGCCATGCAGAGATGTAAGAGCATCTAGTTCCCGGGGCCCATGAATCCCAAAGGAGTCCCTGAGCAGTTGTCGAAAGGCCTGAGACATTCCAAGATCCCCTGAAACGGTCCAAGCCACTAGTTGGAGATGATCCTGAATTGCCAATGGGTGAAAGTTGCCTGTCGGGTCTCTGAGGAGGTCGCAGGTGTTGGGTAGCAGCAGGGGGAAGTCCACTGACATTTCCAGGAGGTAAGGATACCATGGTTGGGCCCGCCATAGCGGGGTCACTAGTGTTATCTTGACACCCTGAGTTCTGAGGTGCTGTAGTGTGCGTGGAATCCTGGAGAATGGAGGGAACGCATATGCCCCGGACATCAGCCACGTCTGTAGGAAGGCATCGACTGCAAGGCACGCTGGGTCCGGCAGCCAGCTGTTAAAAGCGTCCGTCTGCCTGTTGAGGCGAGATGCAAAGAGGTCCAGGTTGAATGGTCCCCGGCAGAGCTGGAGACGGTGAAATATTTGTGGATTCAGTTGCCAATCGCTGGAGTCCCTCCAGTGTCGGGAGAACCAGTCTGCGACGAGGTTGTCTGATCCTGGTAGATATTCCGCTCGCAGGGAGATATTCCTGTCTAGGCAGAACTGATATAATTCTTTGGTCAGATCTGAGAGCATCTTCGATTTGGAACCTCCTAGATGGTTCACGTAACGAACTGCGGACACGTTGTCCATCTTCAGCACCACGGAGCAGTTGTAGACATCTTTGGCGAAACTGCGGATTGCGAATGAGCCTGCAATCAGTTCGAGGCAGTTGATATGAAGTGTTTGTTCCGAGTGGGACCAGAGTCCTCCTGTAGAGCTTTCCGAGCAGGTTGCGCCCCATCCGAGCAGACTTGCATCCGATTCCAGGATGAAGTCTGGTTGGGATCCGAAAATGACTCTGCCATTCCAAGCGTCCATATGTTGTAGCCACCAATGGAGTTCGAGCCGGACTTCGTCCGTGAGTGTGATCTGTTGGTCGTAGGACGTCGACTGATGTAAGTATTTGGTCTTCAGGCGTTGCAGTGCTCGGTAGTGCAGTGGGGCAGGGAATATAGCCTGTATTGAGGCGGAGAGCAAGCCGATGGTGCGGGCTAGGTCTCGCAGGCGGAGGTGTGGTGATATCAGTAATCTCCGAATGTCTCTTTTTATGGATTTGACTTTGGATGCCGGAAGTTGAAGGACTGCTTGAACAGAGTCTATCTAGAATCCCAGGAATTGTATCGTCTGGGACGGTGTTAGGGATGATTTCTGGTGATTGATCACGAAGCCAAGATTCTGCAATAGGGCGGAGGTCATGCTTGTGTGAAGGTGGAGAGTGTCCTGGTCCTGTGCCATGAGGAGGATATCGTCCAGATAGATTATGGAGCGGATTCCTTGGGAGCGCAGTAAGGCCATCACTGGTTTCATTAGTTTGGTAAAGCACCAGGCTGCAGAAGATAGGCCGAAGGGGAGGCAGGTGAACTGCCATAGTGCTTGTTCCCAACGAAACTGAAGGAGGCAGCGGTGTGCTGGTTTTACCGGCACCGTGAGGTATGCATCCTTTAGATCGAAGCGGGAGAACCAATCTCCCTCGGAGAGTAGGTCTCTCAATAAATGGATCCCCTCCATTTTGAAGTGACAGTAAGTGATGAACCTGTTCAGATCTCTCAGGTTGATTACAGGTCGTATACCTCCTGATTTTTTTTTTGACTAGAAACATGTTGCTTATTAGACTTGGGCATTCGTATTCGTCCGAATTGATTTTCGTCCGAAAATATGCATTTTCTTCCATTCTTACGAATACCGAATAAAGAATGGGTATCCAAACTAAAGAACGAACAAACGAATGGCCGTTTACCGAAAATCTTTCGTTTGTTCGTTCATTCGGCATTTTGAATTACACTCTGTGCGAATTGACACAGCACACTGTGTAATTCAAAAAGCCGAACTAATAACCGAATGAATAACCGAATGAATAGCAATGTCTATATCATTCTTTCATTCATTCGTATAACTAGTTCGGCTTTTTGAATTACAGGCTGTCAGTGTAATGTTCATAAGGCAAACTACCGAACGAGAAGCGTTCGCGAACCGAACGCACAAACAATTCGCGCTTTTTAAAGCTTTGCATTGCTTACAGATGGGGATAGTAGAAAAACCGAATGAACTAATGAACTAAAATGAACTGATTTGCCTCAATTCGTGTATTAGTTCATTCGTGCTTTTTCAAAGCATTGCATTGCTTTACATGGGGATGGTAGAAAAACCGAATGAACTAATGAACTAAAATGAACTGATTTGCCTCAATTCGTGTTTTAGTTCATTCGGATGCCTTGTATGAATCAAAGAGGAGGGGTATGGGAGTGAGCTGATTTTCATTTAACTAATCAGCTCACTCCTGTGACATGATGCTATAGGGGCTTATCCAATGGTGAGTGCTTTATCGGGGATTTAAAAAATAACTAAACAGCAGTATAAAAGCAGGCAGTGGAACTTTCTCCCCCCTTCTTTGACTGAGTTTTGTTGGTGACACACTGTGCTTTTGTGCTGTGTTAGCCTCATTGCTTGTCTTAGAGATCTTCTGTGAGTTTTGGTGTGTCTGCCAGTTCTCACTTGTTCAATT